TATATATATTTTTATTTGCATTATATGACTAAATAGTTTGGTTGGCTTGGTAGTCACCTTACTTTTGGTGTGCCAAGAGGTCATGGTTCAAACCTTCCCTTAGCCACCTTATTTTGGAAAAAAAAAAAAATTCTGGCCACTGAAGCTTCAGTACCGACCATCAGAGCTCCAACCTTTGGCGGCGGTCACCTGAGCGCTGGTGGTTGGCCCTCCAATCTCTGGTGGCCAGAACTTCGACAACCATTAATATTTATTTTTTAACACTACTACAAAAAATACTAACTGTAGCACTTTTTTTTTTTTTCATTTTTGTAGTATTTTCGAAACGCTACATTAATACCTGCTATGGAAGGATATGGATATAAGATGTAGCGTTTTCAAAACGTTATAGTAGGTCGACCTCCTATAGTGGCTTCCTCAAGGAAGGGCTACAGGAGTGTTGCTATCTCCCGTAGCGCTTCCTTGAGAAAGCGCTACAAGAAGTGCTACTTGCTGTAGCCTTTTCTTGACACTTCCTGTAGGGCTTTATCAAGAAAGTGTACAAAATTTTTTTCATAAAAAAAAATTAATTAGTATTTTATAGTATTTCCAAAACCACATTTATAGAATTTACAAAAAAATTTCTCAATTGCCAGCAAAATTCAAAGATCAAATATATACAATAAAATTCTCAGAACATTACCACAATAGACATTGACAACAGTTTTAAACAAAATGAATCTAATTCTAATTCTACAACTAAAGCTAAATCAAAAAAGAGAAGCAGCTACCCACTTTATATAAGGAATTGTTCAAACACATATCTACACCACTCTTCAATGACTTCATTTACTTGGTTGTCAGTGTAGTTTATGCAACGTGCATCTTCATAATGCTGCTCAATAATTTACATAGCCAATTAAAATCACTAAAAATTAAGTATTAGACAATAATTAAAGTTAATAAACAATATAAAGTAAAAATAAAACTACTTACATTCTCATGAATAAAAATTTGATCATGAGTAATAATTTCTTTCATGAATCTCATAATATAATAACCACGATCATTATTATTGGGTTAGAAAGGGCAACTGTAACAATATCGTCAAATAGTTAAATCAATTTATGAATCCAAATAATTTATTTTCAAAACTTAATAATTGAAATAAATACCTAAAATTTCTTTCACACGTAGCTTTTTGAGGTGTTAGCAGCTTTAGAATAACTCAATCGGCCAGCAGAACTTCGATAGCCAATCAATGAACTAATAAAATGAAGTTGAGATTAAATTGGTTATTCAGTCATACAAATATACACTTGTATACAAGCATAGACAGACACTTAGCAATTGAACAGCCACATCATATCAGGACAGTCTCTTGGTTGACCATGCTCTAAAGGATCCAAATAGTAAATAAGGGACCCAAAGGTGTCACTAGATTGATCACAATCAATATCCAATGTTGTCTAAAAATTTTTAAAAATTGTTTAATTAAATCAAAAGTAGCAAAATGATTAACAAATATCATAACTCATAAGAGTACAGCCAATTACTTACCCTGCATTAAATGGTGCTAGAAACAACATATTATGAGTTGCTTTTGCTGAGAAATACTCTTTAACCATGTTAGATTGAAAATCAATGTCCTTTTTTCCAATATGTTGGCCTATCATATAGGGATTGATAAATGAGAATTGTACTGATCTCTCAGTGTCCATCAATACGTCACGGTACAAGTACCTTCATGTAAAAATAATTAATTAGATTAAAACTAATAACATTAAATGATAAATAATAAGTGTAATATCCTATTAAAAAAAATTAAAAAAAAATAGAGTCAACTTTCCACCAAAAGTTGGTGGAAAGTTGAAATGTTACGATGGAAATTTTGGGAGAGAGTGAAAAATGGGGTAGACGTGTGGAAAAAAATGGGATTAGGAAGACTTAGGGGGAGAGAAGGAAGACTTTGGGGAGGAAAAGTAATTGCACGAAGGAAAAATGGTAAAGGGTAGTTAGAAGTTGCAGCATAAAAGGGAGAGGGGATGCAGAAGTTGGGAGAGAACGCGTGAGAGAGAGAGGGGAGGAGAGAAAGAGAGCGAGAGAGAAATAGAAAGAGCGTAGCAGCAGTCCTCGTGAAGGAGAAGGCTAAGCTTTGAAGATATTTTAGGTACATGAAATTATCTCTTTTCATCAAACTTTCTTCATAAATATTTCATATATATTTTATGCTTCCTAATAGTAGTATTATCATAGTGATTAGAGAAAATTTTGAGACTTGTATATGATCTAACTATTGAGTTTTGACAAAAGATGACTATAGAAATTTAGAAGTAAATGAGTTGTTAATTTTAATCGGTTTAGATTTCTCTATTTGCTAGTTTTAGTATTTAAATTAATTTATTTAGTGGAAAATCTGTTATGTATGAGATATACCATATTTTTACCGATTAAATTTAAGTTAAATAATTTATTTGGGTTGTTTGATATATTATTGAGATTTTAATCGGTGTAGTTTTATTTATTGGGTGACTGAAAGTTTTAAAATAATTATTGTAGCTAAAAAGTTTATTATTTATGGAAATATATATATGGTAGTTATACCATTAAAGTTTTGATTATATTATTTAGTTATAAATATTTGAAGTATTATTGAAATTTTTGATAGTTTGATTTTGAGGTTTAAACTTAAAAAGAGTGTTTTTAGAATTTAGAACATAATAATTTTATATTTGGAAATTGTTGAAAATCCTTTTTATTAAGGTAAATAATTTGGAGGTGGTAAATAAATAATTTGGGTTATTAGAAATTTTAAATTGTTTCTAAAATACTTAATAATTTTTTTTTGAGTTATGAGAGTTGAGGGATTTTAAAGTAAAAATTTAATTAAATCAGAAATTTAAATAATATAGAGAAGTTTAATTAATTAATTAATTAATTTATATTAATATGTGGTTATATTAATTGTGTAGATTAATTATTGGTTGAGCAAAGGATTGACCTTGTGGTAATCCTTAGTATTGCTTTGGCGAGAGGTAACCACTTTCCACTTGTTATATGTGCTAACATGTTGTTTGTGAGTATTTTGCTGTTTTTAGAATAATATTTGATATTTGGAACTTGAATAGATATGTTATATCTTTTGAGCTATGAAAATTGTCTTGTGGGATTTTTGGAATTGTGATTGAGAAGTTTGGAAAAGATATATGATTTATATCTTATGGATTATACTGGGAAAATATTGAGACATTTTTGTTATATTGTGAATGGTTGGTTGTTATTTGGATTTTGGATTGAGCGCTATCCTACCACGTGGTAAGGCCGCCATTAGTGCACATTGGTCGGCTTCTTCCTTCGTCCCTAAAGTAAGGGATAGACCTTTGTGGCTTTTTATTCGTCCCCCAAAGTGTGGGATAGGCCTGTAATAAGGGATGGATCTTTGTGACTATTTAATCGTCCCCCAAAGTGTGGGATAGGCCTATAGGTCGGTTTGATCCCCTATAGGGAGGGATAGACTTATGTGGCTTGTGTGTTAGCTCCCGTAATGAGGATTTGGATGATTGAGATTATTTGAATATACATATTTGTATTGTCATTGATATATATATTGAGATTTAATAATTATCCCACTTGACACCTCACGAGCACATGTTAGTATGTATGATGAGTTGGAAAGTTGGTTACTGAGGCGTTTGTCTCACCCCGTGGTTTAACATTTTCAGGCGATAGTTCAGGTGGTGGCCCATCAGGGAAGGCTCCAGAGGCATAGTGTGCTGTTATAGCTTGTATAGCCTCCCTGCTTTTGTTCTATGTGCTGACTTGTTATACATTGCCACATAGGGCTCATCTACTATCATGATGTAAAATAATACTTTTAATTACTACTATCTGGTATGATAGGGCCGTGAGGAAGCCCGAGACGTTTTAGACTCTACGTGTAACGCTCCTTTGAAAGTGTTGACTTTTGACTAATGAGCTCTATAGTTTATATTAAACTGATTTATCAGTTCGTATGGTTGAAAATATAAGTTTGGTTTGGGCTAATGGTTGAATGATATTTCTGGACTTTGGAAGTCCAAGGCCCAAGGTAACGATCGATGTTACTCTTATTATAAGTTTATTTCTTTTAACCATGATAGCAATTTTAAAATTTTAAGGTTTCTTCTTTTCTATCATGGTTAATCATTCAAATAAATTGTTAGATTTAATCTAAAATAGTTTTGAAAGAGCGGTTGTCACAATAAGAATGATGAAATACCCAATCCATATGTTAATAGTCGTAGCACCAACCCGTCTATGATGAAGTATGTCATTCAGTACATGCCAATCAATATTATCAAATATATCATTTGTGCTGTAGATGTGCCTATCAAACTCCACTTGAATACCATTTCGTTCCCCAAAAAAATTAGGTGCAATCAATTCCAATTGATTACGATATGAGTTGGTAATTTGTTTTTGACCTATTTGACTTGCTGATAATGAGCCTTTTTTTTTTATACACTTGTTGAACCCTTAGAGTTGCTGCCAACCAATTGAATTTGTTTGCTTCTTTTTTGTGTAACCTATAAAAATCATCAAACTAAATCAAATATTTCTAATAAGATATATGAAAAAGTTTTTTAAAAAAAGTAAATTTATTACCTTTTGAAATGGCTTAATAAGACGTATAGGCCATACAACATAAGCACCCACAACATCTTTCACCATTGTTTGCTCATCTGGAGTAGGAAATGGTAATTGAGCATCTTCATTGGTGCAAACATCAATTGTTACACGGAGTGTGTTCTGAGGCAATGGTAAATTATGCAGAATTTCATTACCATTATTGTAGACAACACCCATAGCAACTACATGCTTAAAAGATTGATCTAAATCCACTTATAATTTAAGTTTCCCTAACAAAAAAATAAAGTCAATAAAGAAGAAATTATAAAGAAATTAAAAATTAAGTAGAGAAAAAACTTGAGAAAATTTACTGGAAGAAGAGGGATTTTAGGAACTTAAGTACAACTGTCCTTTACTCTTGGGCTATCACATGTGCGAATACTTGGTCCTATCTCACTTTATATGTAGCTCTGCAACTGCTCCATTAATTCCATATTTTTTGTCGCACTACACAAGTTTGTTCAAAAAATTGTTCCTACATTTGCTGCTTGAAAGAATTCATTTCCTCTTTTAGTTGTGAAATCTCATTTCTACTGCAGCGCTTTTGGGGTCCAAAATAAGATGTTGGTGTCACTCCAAAACCAACATCCCGAACACGACCAGGAACTTTAGGGACATTTAATTCTCTACTAAGCAAATCATCACGTCCAATACGTTGGGCTTCATCTGGTGATTCTTGTGTGATTGATGCTAGCACAAAAAAGCTTGATAAAATTATTTCTTATAAAATAGAATCATTTAAATAAAAAATACTTAATGGAACATATAATACTTACATAATACCTTGCAACCCTTCTAACTTCATCATGAACAATTTCACCTTTTCTTGTTAGTGCAACCAGCTAGCCACAACATATGTCGTGATAATTGTGTAGCATCTAAGTTTGATTCCTTTATCTACAAATTAGAATTATTTGAAGTTAAAAATTATTCTAACAAATGTCATACATATGAAGCAATTATTAATGCATATACCAGTTTTTCCTCCATTTGTTCTTATGCTATTCGTCCTTGTCTATAATGATATTTCATGTTTATCACTTGGGACTGATTTTTGTCACTTAATTCCTGTTTAGATGAAAATTATTAATATTAACATATGTTAATTATATATAAATTACAGTTGGAAAACTCTATTATTACCTGAAATTGCTAAGTTGTATGTGACTCTAAAAAGATATCCCATTATTCTTTATTAATGATACCATCACATAAACTCGGTGGTGCTGGGATGATATTCTTATCATCGTCTCTCATGTAGTATTTGACTAGATCAACACAAAACTTTCTTAGAAGAGTGCTAGCTTTCATTAGCACATATCTCTCTCGAGTCTCGTCAATATCAAAATAAGACTGCAAGAAAAAAACCATATTTAATTGGTTGAAGTGTGATCTTATGAGAAAAAAAAAAAATGTTAGAGTAATTAATATTTTACCACCACTTCATTCTAATCTAAGTTCTTATACTATTTCGGGACTCTTCTCCAATTGTCAAATGTAAAAGGGACTCTATCTCGAACTGCAGTACCAATGAAACTAGTAAATTTGCTACGATTGACTCTAATTGGTTGCCCCTTGAAATTCCACTCAATTGATGACTTGATTCCCTTATTTCTCAACTTGATCAACTTAGCCATAATGGTAGAGAAGGGGATTTTATTAACTTAAATTGTGAAAATGAAAAAAAAAAGGAAAAAAATATCATTAGCAGAGGATTTTTATAATTTTGAAAAACAATGCATTTAGCTTTTTTTTTTAACTTAAATAGAAAAATGAAAAAAAGGACTTTTGTAGCGTTTTATACGCAAACACTACAGAAAGTTGCCCTTCTATAGCGTTTTGTTAAGAAAACGCTACAGCAGGGTTTTCATGATTTTTTTAAAAACCCCTTAGCTTTTTTTTAAAGGCCTTCTATAGCGCTTTCTGTAGAAAGCGCTACAGAAAGTACCAAGAATTAAATTTTTTTTAAAAGAAAATAATCTTCTATAGCGTTTTCTAAATAAAGCGCTACAGAAAATCCTTTATTTCCTGTAGCTTTTGGAAGAAAACGCTATAGAAGATTTTTATATTTTTTTAAAAAAGTAAATGGATTGCTGTAGCGCTTTCTTAAGAAAGGGCTACAGTAAGTATCATACATGCTATAGCACTTATTTAAATAAGTGTTACAGAATATATCTTTTTTTTAATAATTATTGAGTACTAGCTGTAGCGTTTTCGTATTAAATGCTACAAAATAAGCGCTACAAATCAAGTATTTTGTAGTAGTGTAAAAAAATAAAAATGAGGGGTATTATTGTAATCTTATTTTTAATTTTAATTTTAGTTTGGTCACTTGGTCCTGCAATGACATTTCATAACGTTTTGGGGGTTTTTTGAAATAAATTCTCAATTGTGATCCTTAATTGAAATTTTTCCAAAAATTAAATGTCAATGATTGGATGAACAACTCAAATAAGATGATTTACAACACAAATAAAACTATTTAGAAAGATTTAAGAGATATGCTGGTAAATGAAAAGGCTCCCACAACTTGGCCAATATTTGATTGTAAATGAACAGAATTAAATTCAGGAATGGGGGGTGTTTGGATGGAAACCAAACCATGGTTTCAGAAGTGCTTTTACGGTTTACAAAGTAAATATGTGGAGGAGTTTGTCTCGTTTTGTAAAAAAATGCTTCTAAGAAGCACTTTTGAGGGTTACCAAACACCCCCCAAGTCAAGTTAGATTTTCACCTTTTAATATAAATATAAATATATATATATATATATATAAAGTAATAATTTGTACGATACTATGAAGGTAAGATACGACCAAGTCAAGTTAGATTTTTACTTTTTAATATAAATAAATATATATAAAGCAATAATTTGTACGATACTATGATTGGATTAAAATGAAAGAAGAAATTACTTGGATCGTTTTTTTTTTTTTTGGATACAATACTTGGATCGTTAATTAGCTAGCGAATGACGATGACGTTTAAGACAACGGTTTAATAACAGTGAGATCCCCCAAAAAGTGTTTTTAAAAATAAGTTACAGGTATCTATTTAAATAATTGTTAGAGCTAAGAAATAGGCAGACAGGCCCATATATATGGGCTCAGGTCCAGAAGCCATGTCGCCGCAAATATAACCATTGTCTGATACCCAATCTTTATTATTGATCCGGCATAGGGCTGGCTCCGAGATGCGTTTTTCAATTTATTTTTATTTTTTTTTATAAAACCAAGTTCACATTAAAATGTTCTAAAGTTTAAAACGAGTTATACAAATCCAAGGTTTTAAGTATAATCACATATTCTAATAAAGTCTAAGTTGTAGTCCAAAAATATAAATATTCCTTACTTCTTATCTTGGTCATTCAAATAATAATTTAATTTAGCCCTAGCAAGTAGCAACTAGCTGCAAGGAATTAGGAAGACGCAAGGGGTGATGCAAGCTAGGGGATAAATTCAGATTTGGACATCATTTTTTTATTGTAAATGAAACGAATCAAATTTAGGAAGTGTGGTTGTGACTGTGGAAAATGATAAAGGCAATGGTTGGGTGAAAGAAACCAATATGTTGAAGAGCATATAACACAAATCAATTTCTCTGGCCAAAAAAAAAAAAAGAAAGCCCTTATTTCAACTGTAGTTCTCTCCCCTAGAGACTATAAATAGAGAGGAAGGTTAAGTGTAGTGTGAGCATATACAAAAGCCAAATTAAAGGAGTTATGTGTGTGTGTGGCTGTAAATATGAAGAAGGCTATTCTAGTTTCTTTTCTCATTTGGGTTTCTACATTATTTCTCTTCCTTTCCTCTTCTACCCATGCACCTCTATTACTTGGTAACAACTTCAACTTGATTTGTTTTGCTTCTTTATGTTTTCCCCCTATCTCATTTACTGTATGTGACTAAATTGCCTCAAATATGAAATTATTGTACTCCTCATATCCTAAATATAAAAGCTAATTAGGGAGTTGATTTTGATAATAAATGTAAGAATTTAATCAATTTTATCTCTCATATTTATTACTACCTCCGGTCCTTAATATAAGACCCTGTTTGACTTTTAGTTTGGTCCTAAATATAAGACCTCAATCCACTTTGTCTCTCATATTTACTCAATTTTTTCTAAGATAGTCCTTCTAATAATTATAGTTCTAGTTAATACACCCGATTAGCAAGGATATTTTAGGAAAGACAACACCTATTTAGGACAAATAACTAACTCAACTTACTTCCTTAATCTCCTCAAATTAGTTAACTAGCTTTTATAATTAGGACCGGAGGTAGTATTATTTTTTTAAGCTAATTTATCTAACTTATAAATTGATATGTCAGCTAATATTATATGAGAGTATTTTAAGAAGATCAAGTCATATTTGTTAGAAATAATTTATTTAACTCTCTTAATTTATCTAAAGTAGTTAAAAAGTTTTTGCATAAAGATAAGAGGAGTATTAATTAATTACCGCTCGAATACAATCTTTAGTTTTTAAAAATTTGACTTCATTTTATTTTTGGTCTCTAAACTTTAAAACCAGTAACTTTTGTACCTGAAATTTACTGCACCTATAAATATTAGTGCCTATAAGTTAAACACTGTAAGATGAGTTGGTATTCTCGTAGCTTATATGGCAAAAACATTGATAAGAAATGTTGTCGCTACTTTTGCTTTGCGTTTTGAAGCCTTTTCTTTTGTTTTCCCCATATATCCGCATAAACTACAAGAGCGTCAGCTCATCTTACCCAGTCATCACCACATCATCAAAATTAATGATGTTTGTGCCAAATCAGCAATATTTAACACAATTTAGACTCACTTGGATTAACATTTACAAACGGAGTAAATTTTGAGAACTAAAACTAATTTTAAATTTTAAGGACTAAAATAAAAATGATACCAAATTTCATGAATTAAAAATTGTATTAATAACCTTTGATTATTTTTCGTTGTGACATGTGAACATATTATTAAAAATTGATATGTCACATTGATATGTGTATGTATTTATTATATACATGATGACAATGCGGAAAGGACATGGCTAACCTCGCCGGTGAGATGGCCCTGTTGAAAAATGTCCTGGTTTTCGTAATCCTCAGTGCCTTGTTCCATCAATCCTAATTCCAAAAGCGCCGTGCGATTACTATGGCCGTGATTGTACGACGTAGTAAAAGAAATATGTGAATGGTAAATAGCTGTCCTGTTTCTGTGTCAAGTGTGTTTATGGGTATCTTGTGACCGCTTTTTAATTAGGAGTAATATAAAGTTTGGTTCCTTAAATTTGTGCTTATTGTAGTTTTGATCCATCAATTTTCAAATTATAAATTTTGGTCCCTCAAATAATAAAATGGTTCAAATTTTTATTAGATTATAGGAATTAATGTTTTAAATAAAAAGAAATTTGAAGAACTAAAACCTATAGTTTAAAATTTGATAGACTAAAACCAAAACGAGAATAAACTTAAAAGACCAAAATTTGTATTAACTTTT